GCTCCCAATTATCACCACTAGGTCTTGGCCATATTTGCCAAATTAAGGAGATCAATAAAAAGTTTAGGAAGGATGCTCTCTAAATATCGCCCTAAGTAAGAGAGTATTTATTCTAACATATTCTAATGGGAAGAATTACAATATAACAGATGCTTATAACATTGTTAAAGTTCCAAACTCATCTGCCAAATACGGTCGCTTTATATACTGTTACTATGTCTAACTATGAAAGGAATTTTGAATATCACAGCTTATCTGAGAATAAAATCCTCATTTTAAATCAGTTTTAAATGGGGAAAATGATAAAGGTTGCTATTATAACCAATCACAGTCTGGCAAAATTGTGGACAACTATTCTCCATTCAAACATATAAAAGGACAAGTTCAAAGGAGATTCTGATTAATACCTCCATGAAGGGATTTCAAAGTGCATCTTGACCCCTATGTGGGAGGAAGGGTCATACATGAAAATCCACAGCTACAGCTGCGCACGCCTGAGAAATCTTGTAACTGCAACCCCAAGATATACAGGCCACGAATAATCTAGCCAGCTGCCTTCATTTGGGATGAGCAGAGCAATGCAATGCATGTAAATGGAGACAAAAATAAGTTAAGGCATGTGAAGCTCCTAAGCTGGTGTGTGAAGTGGGAAGGCAGTATCATATCATGTGGCAGCATCTTGGTATCTGTCAACACAACATTTTGTCCCAAAGGAACCCCAGCCGAGAGGGAAGAAAGATTCTTCTAGCATAGCTAGGCAGGGTCCAAAACAAAAAGGTTGAAATGAAATTAAACACATTCTGATAAAGCTGCTTCCCAAGAAGCGTAAATGGTATAAGAGAACTGCTGAGTTGCCAAGCCGTTCCCTGATGAGTGCTTCATGGCTATGGTATTTTTCATATCACGTCTCCAACTCCAGCCATCCACCTGCCCCTTATCTTCTTAGATCAGTGTTTCTCAACCTTGGCAGCCTGAAGATGTGTGAAGTTCAACACCCAGAGTTCCCTAACCATTTATGCTATTCTACAATACTATTTACCATCATCCCATAATCTCATATTGTTTACAGATGATTTCTTACAATTCCTGTTACGTTAATTAACTAACATTTCAATACATATTTTATAAACACTTCAACTCTTAAGCATAACACTGCCCAACAGATACCTGCCATCAAAGCCTACACCAGTATATAGTCAACACTGTTCATCTCCCTGCCAGCATGGCTCTAAGAAAAGCAGAAGAGATGCTCCTTTTTTAGATTATCCACAATTTAATGTACTATTCAGGCCCTAAACTGCACTTGGTTTTACACAGAATGTAGAGCCAAGTTTTAAAATCCAATTATTGTGAAGTTCACTGGATGACTTTAAGTCAGTCCTTCTCTTTCAACCTAACCTTCCTCACAGAGGTACTGCAAAGATTAAAATAAAAAAATAAAGGGGGGAAGAGGAAGGATACTACCTGTTGCCTCGATTTCCCAAAGCAAAAGCAGGTTATACATGTAATGCATAAACAATTCTTTAACATTTGACATGTTTCAGATTAATCACTGTTTATCTGCAGTCATACAAAACTGATAGTGAGATTAATCTCAAATAGAAGGGAACATTTTGGAACTCTTTCTTGCAACTACAATAAAAGCACATGAGTTTTGAAGGAAGCTAAATATGTTCTCATATTTATTTGCTGCATTTATTACACTACCAACCTTCTAAGTCATACAAAATCATAGGTTAACTCAAACCAAGTCATAATGAATATATATAACCAAGACTAATCACATCAATAAGATTGGTCCAATGTAGATGAATAAAATCACTATGGCAAAGAGTAACGCCTGCACGTGTCCTAAATAGACCACTTGACATCTTTGTTATATTTTTAGACAACTATTACATGTTGTATAATGTGTTTTTCAGACATGGGAAAAAAGATGGTAAAGCAAATTCTATTGATCAGGGATATAGCAAGTCTTTAAACAAAAAAATGTTTCAGACTGCACTGGAGCTGTGGCTATTCATGGACATGCTTGCAAACGCAGCAGGAGCAGCTTGCTAATCAGTGGTGTGAATCGGAAAAAAAAAGCAGCTGTTTCAGCATATTCAAAAATAATGCCTTGAACAAGCTTCTATGTTTTGTAAGGCATCTCTTTCAAAGAATTTGCACAGCCCTCTTGGCCAACGTGGAAGGCAATCCACAGAAATGAGAAAAGGTAGAGCTCTACGGGACTTCAATAAATGCAGCAATGAGAAGCAAAGCACATATCATGTGAAAACAGTAGACCCAAAAATGACACTCGACCTATAGAGAAATTTTCCTGCTTCACAATTTGATCCTGCTCTGTGCGTAGGTAGCAAATCTCGAAGCACAAGTTAAATGCAAACATGCTTCTGTTTCTCTCCCATTTATGAAACTGTTCAAATATCAAGGGTAAGACATATCAGTGCCACTATACAGAATAAAAACAGGGGGGAAATACCTGGAGTGCAATCAAATCCAGTACAGTATTATATTAAGATAAAAGTAAAGATTTCCCCTGTCCAGTCATGTCCAACTCTACAGGGTGGTGCTCATCTTTGTTTCTTAGCGGAGGAAGCCAGCCTTGTCCAGAGACATTTTTGTGGTCACCTGGCCAACATGACTATAGCCGAAGACCACAGAACAGTGTTACCTTCCCACCAAAGTGGTACCTATTAATCTACTTACATTTGCATGATTTCGACCTGCTAGATGGGCAGGACCTGGGGCAAGTAACGGGAGCTCACCCCATCATGCGGAGCTCAGGTCTTGAAGCTGGGTGGCCATCTGACAAGCTCAGAGTCTTTAACCACTGAGCTATCATACCCCCCACAATACTATATACTGGATTGGAAAGAGTTAGGTTCCAATCTTCGGTTACAATGATACTCACTGGTTAACTTTATCCAATCATTATCTCTCAATATAATCTAGCTCACAAGAGTTTTGAGAGAGAGAAAAGGAAATGAAAGGAATCATGTGAAATATCTTAAGCTTCTGGAGTAAAGGTCAGGGTATAAATTCAATAAAAATAAAAATCCGTCAAGGTCAAGTAATCATAGTATGGATAGGCAACCAGATGCCTTCTACCCATTTTGGTCTTCCACTCCCCTATTTTCTAGGAAGCTTAGTGTACTCCATATGGGTGTTGATCTCCAACCACTAAGTTGTCTTATCCTACTACAGTGACAAGCTACTGGCACTTGTCACATTGTCAATACCCACTAAGTATTGGTAATTTATTTAGAAATATACATGATGCCCACTCCCTTAATAGACTATAGACCAGACATGTCAAACCCGCGATGTCACGTGACGTCGTGCAATGTATGGGGACAGTTTTGCCATTGCCGGCAATGGGATGGGTGTGGCTTCCGCGTGACACATCCAGCCTGCGGGCCGGCAGTTTGATACCCCTGCTATAGACCATTATATAACAACTATTCTTGTCAGCCTCTTCTAAAAAGTGAATCATGCACTAACTCTCACTTTTAAAACTCTGGGACATCTTTCCAACATCCGGCGTTTTGCTAGCTTTAAATCTCTTAGAACTTAATGATTTATATCTTGAGACTAGGGGGCTTCAATGTGCCAGCTTACCAATTCAGGCTTTATTTCAAAGGAAAATTTCATCACTTGACCTTTTATACAAAAGCTTTAGGTAGAGATCCATACCTAAGAAGGCAAATATTATCTATCCATCATCAATGACAATTAAACACAAATATCACATGAGACAGATAAACTGAAGAAGACTTATTTAGCCCATTTAACTTTAAATAGTTCATTATAGGGGTTCAGTTATTTGCCTTTGGCTTACAAAAAATGAAAAGCAAACACCGCATGCTATAGCACTCTCTCTCTCTCTCTCTCTCTCTCTCTCTCTCTCTCTCTCTCTCTCACTCACTCACACACACACACACACACACACACAGCTTATCAGCTCTGCAGAATAAACTACGTAGGTACCCTTTAGATTTATTTTTGTAAACCTGCACATAACTTTGCATTTCCAAAAAAGGAATTTAAATTCTGCTAGATTTTTAAAAGGGAAAGGGAAAAGTCACAGCAAAACTTATTTTAGTTCAAATGTTTGGGAATCAGGGCTGAGTATCACTTCAACTGCAGGAAGTATGCTTGAGGAAACAAAATACACATTTCCACACCAGTGGCAAAGGACAGAACAACCTCTTGGCCTCCCTCCCTCAATAATAATTCATCCAGAAATCAAATGATTTAAATCATTTATTGATGACTGATGATACGATAAATAATTTATTGTTCTGCTTCCTATCTTTAGCAATTCAGTAGCAAGACTGACCAAGAGAATAACTGAATGGTTTTGGGAGTAAAAACGGTGACAGTGTGTAGTGTATTTTCCTAGGCTTTCTTCCTCTATTCCTCAATAACATTTTGTAATTACAGGGCTCTAAATGGGAGAGGCACCTCTACTAAGCAGCAAAGATTGCAATACTGTAAAAGCAATTGCTTAAGCAAAACAATCCAACCTACAAAGCTCAGCTCTTAGTGACAAATGATTTACCCCAAGGCCTTTCATTTTCATAAATGATCACTGGGCTACAGACAAGGAAGTGACAGATAACACGTATGTCTGGAAACTACCCAGTCAAGGTAAAAAGCCTGAAATCTACCATCAGCCTTTTTATCCAATGCAACTTTCTCTGACCTCTGTGAACCTTTGGTGCTAAGATAAATGTATTCATAAATTACTGGACCATAAACTCCCTTGCTAGAATTACAGCTTGATACATTATTAAACTGCCAGATTTTTTTTCCCCATGTTACGCTTTCTACTCAATCTACTCCATGCTTGCATGTGTGTGTTTCCCCACCCATGTTTGTTTTCCCAGGTAAGGCTGCACACAGTTCTTTCAACCTTAGTAATGTCTGATCGGATCCAAGGTTTCTTTTAAACTAAGGCACACCTAATACAGATTCACAGACGACCTGCCACTCACTTTTAAGGGCCACAATGAGTGCCTTTCCATCCTTGATCAGCTCCTTGATGAACTTGTTAGTCTTGTCCAGCTCAGCTTCGTGAGACTTTAGCCTTTCTCGGAACTGGGGGCTGTCCAAACAGCAGTCACTAAACTCCAAGGCAGGTAGCCCCATGATTTCCCAGAGCCCCTCCAAAGCCAGACCTACAGCCAAAAGCAATCAGCTGGAAGAGAAGCCGTCCAGGAATGGAAACCTTTCCCAAATAAGCACCTTAAAATCGAAACAGCCGAACCACCAACAACGTTGAAAATGTCATCCGGTCCGTCCCGCAAAATGCAAAGAATCAGCCGCCAAGAGAGCTGTTTTTATGCTGCTCAGGATCCGCAGGCATCAGGAAGTCTAATTTTTTCAACTCACTCGAAGCAGAAGGAAACGGGTCTCGCACCGAGGGCTGTTTCACACGCCAGGGCGAGAGGACAGGAGGCGTCTGAAAGAGGGAAACGGCGTTGTCGGAGCAGCAAACGCTACCGCTGCCGGAGGACTGCTCGCGGCCACATTTTCCAAACACGCTGCAAACTCGGGGGCGGTGCGGTCGTCGCTGTTGCCGGAACCTCCAGCAGCTCTTCGCCGGGTCGACGTTGCTGGGGCTGCTGCTGCCGCCGCCGCCGCCGCCGCCGCCGCCTGAGAAACTCACCCCGCGCGGCCTCCCGAAGCAGAAGCCGCAGATCTTCAGCTCAGCAACGCAGCCACCTCCGACGGCATCCGGGATCAACCGGGACCCTGCACTTCCCCATTGGAACGCGGGCGATCATTTTCCTACCGCTCTGCCCGTTGGAACGTTGTGGAAAGAGGGAGATTTTTTTTATCTCCTCCCCCCCCCTCACTCCGGCTCAGACGCGACCCCGCCTCTTGCACCAGCAGGAGCCAATCAGAGGCCGGACTGCTCATGGAGCAAGGAGGAGGGAAGCAAGAAAGATGCCTTGCGAAGACAAGACCGGGTCTGAGGGGGGGGGAGTGGCCAGAGGTATGTCAAACCGCATGGAGCTGTCCCCCCCCCTTCCCGCCTTCTTAAAGACATACCCTCCGGAATGGGGGAGGAGTGGCGAAGGCTCGGTTGCTCAAGGGCGTTTCTCGTAAACCTGTTGCTGCACTGCAGGCTGAAGGAGAAACCACCTTACAGCGAATCGGTACACCCGGGAGCTACGCTGGGAGACAGAAGGAGGAAAGGGAGAATCTTCACGTTAGGCCATCCTTTAAGGGGATACAGTGACTACAAAAGAGGAATCACCTTCACCCTGGCCTTGGCATAAGGAAACAACCGTTCTTTTCATAAAAGGAGTCCTTCCCACCTTTCCCCCGCAAATGACGTTCCCTTTGCACACTCACAGCCTGGCTGCTTGCCTTGGACGGTCGATTATTTTCTCTCTTTACAGCATGCGATTCCTGCTTTCTTCAGGAAAAAAAAAAAAAAAACCAGCAGCATGACCTGAATTTGTGCATGCCTTCCCCTATCTGTCCTCTGCTGATTTGAAAAGCTAGCCAGGAGCCTAACCTGGTTAGTACTTGGATGGGAGAAGCACTGTCAGAGCTAAGATGGAAATAAGACAATAGCAAAATTCTATACTGTTCTTCCCTCTTTCAAAAAATCCTACACAGACACGTTCATGAAATCGCTGAGAACTGAGCTTGACTTCAAAGAGATTTTCTCTCTATCCTTACTGTATGTGATTCTGAGCCATCTGAAAGTAGCTGATTGCAAGCCATGCCTTTTTCTCTTCAATAGTCATACATTTGGTAGATGAACTGCCCTTTATTTTTGCCAAAAACACAGCACATGACCAATTATTATTTGTTGTACTGGACTTTAGACATCAGTACTGCCCTTCTGTAAGACCTCTGAGTCAAAATTTTAGATCACGTTAATTCTAAAGAACATTAAATTGACAGCAAAATTTTAGATCACGTTAGTTCTAAAGCAGTGGTTTTCAACCTGTGGGTCTGGACCCCATTTGGGGTCGAATGACCATTTCACGGGGGTCGCCAAACAACGCAGTCCGCCATTTTTTTCCCCTTTTCCTTAGCTGTGCTACTCCCTTTTATTCTATTGGCTTTTGAAAGCCAATAGAATAGACTCTCTTGAATAGAGTCTAATTCTATTGGCTTTCAAAGCCAATAGGAATTGTCCAGGCTGTCTCTGCCCTGCTGAGCCCGCCAAAAGTCCCATTCTGCAAACGGTGCTGCACCAGTTGAGTAGTCCTCGACTTACAACTGGTTGAGTAGTCCTCGACTTACGACCGGTTGGGGGTCGCGGCATTAAAAAGGTTGAGAACCACTGTTCTAAAGAGATTTAAATTGACAGCTAATTAAGAGAGTTGAGAGTCTAATTCAATGTTCTGATTAAAAATCCCAAGATTTGGAGAACGGGTATTTGAATCAAAGTCACGGGACAAATATTTCTTTGCTGTCCACTAAAACATGCTACTTAATAAAAGAGGAAGACGGGCAAGTGCACTCCTTGAAGCATTTCATCTTACAAAATTGCTCACAGGCTATTTAAATGATTTAGAATACTTCTGTACAGTCTGGGCTATGAGAAGTCAAGGTGAACTGCAGGTTTGACTTTCCTTTTCCTGTTAATGGACTTCAGAAACAAGAAATGCTACAGGTAGTCCTCGACTTAATTGAGCCCAAAATTTCCATTGCTAAATGAGAATGTTGTTAAATGAGTTTTCCCCATTTTAACAACTTTTCTTGCCACAGTTGTTAAGTGAATCACTGCAGTTGTTAAGTTAGTAACACGGTTAAGTGTTTGCCATTGACTTTGCTTGTTAGAAGGTCACAAAAGGGGAACACATGACCCTGCAACCATCATAAATATGAATCAGTTGCCAAGTGTCTGAATTTTAATCATGTGACCCTGGGGTGCTGCAATGGTCATAAGTGTGAACAATAGTCATAAGTCATTTTTTTCTGTGCCGTTGTAACTTTGGTCACTAAACAAACAGTTGTAAGTCCAGGACTACCTATATCAGTTGAGCAATTGCAGTCATTAGCTTTCATAGATAAAATATCAGTCAATCATTCTAGGCTATTAGACAACAAATACCATAATAATAATAATAATAATAATAATAATAATAGTAATAGTAATAATAATAAAAAAAGAAGTTGGAAGGGACCTTGGAGGTCATCAAGTCCAACACCCTGCTCAGGCAGGAAACCCTATACCATTTCAAATAAATGACTTTCCAGTCTCTTCTTAAAAACTTCCAGTGTTGGAGCATTCACCGCTTCTGGAGGCAGGTTGTTCCACTGGTTAATTGTTCTCACTGTCAGGAAGTTTCTCCTTAGTTCTAGGTTGCTTCTCTCCTTGATTAGTTTCCATCCGTTGCTTCTTGTCCTGCCTTCAGGCACTTTGGAGAACAGCTTGACTCTCTCTTCTTTGTGGCAGCCCCTGAGATATTGGAACACTGCTATCATGTCCCCCCTTGTCCTTCTCTTCATTAAACTAGACATACCCAATTCCAGCAACTGTTCCTGATATGTTTTAGCCTCCAGTCCCCTAATCATCTTTGTTGCTCTTCTCTATTCTTTCTAGAATCTCACTATCTTTTTTACATCGTGGTGACCAAAACTGGATACAGTATTCCAAGTGTGACCTTACCAAGGCATTGTAAAGTGGTATTAATACTTCACGTGATCTTGATTCTATCCCTCTGTTAATGCAGCCTAGCACTGTGTTGGCTTTTTTGGCAGCTGCAGCACACTGCTGGCTCATATTTAGGTGATTGTCCACTAGGACTCCTAGACCCCTCTCACAGTTACTACTATTGAGCAAGGTAACCCCTATACTATACCTGTACATTTGGTTTTTCTTGCCTAAATGTAGACCTTAGTAAAGGACATATCAGACCACCTTCGTAAAACTTTGTTCCCCGTGATTCAATGAACAATATTCAATAATAGAATCATACAATACATATTTCCAGAGGAACACTTAGAGAAACATTTTTTTCTCATCAAGAAGGCAATAAGCCTGAACTGTTTTCTAAATTATGCCCTTATGCATAGGCAACATTGGAAAAATTGCATACCTGTAGGTGTGTTTGATTAACAAAGCAACAAATGACAGTGGAATAGAGCCTAGGCTGGCTAAAAAGCAACAGATGGCCACCTTGCTTTTTGGACCAATGTCAGGTTTAAAGCACTTAGAGGGATTGCAGGGAATTGGTTTTGTTGTGGTCTGCATTAAAAATTAAGTGTTTCTCAATCTGAATATCCTGTACTGTATAGCTGGCATTTTATAAGGACTTTTGGCTTACATAGAAATTCACTGCTGTCATCTCCTTAATCAGGGAAATAATAACATTCTAATCACAATCCTTGAATCTTCTTACCATATGATTTATGTTGTGAATATCGACCCATCTGTTTTTAGGAGTATTTATTCCAGATTAAATACCATGAAATGAAAGAGTTTGTTGTTATAGTTAACTTGTGATATTTCTTGAAGCAGATGGGAAAATTTAGTAATTTTTTTAATCAATTTACAGTGCTTGATTCAATTATATGCTTCTAATTATTATTCTGTTACTAAATTCACTTTTGCTACATATATTATAATAAAGTTGCATTGCACACTATTGTTACATATTTAATTTGAGGATCTTAGTATCTGTTTGAGCCATATTTTACCCTGTAATCTTAGCTTGTGCCCAGAATAAAAGGATTTTTTTGGGGGGGAGGGAATCCATACCTTTACAGATTCGATTTGTGCTGGTATAACTTGAAAAACGACAATTTTCCGTAAGTTTCAGAAATGAGACATTAAGTTGCCCCAGTTTTGTTCTTTTGTTCCTGTAGTTTGTTCACAAGAAAGCAAAAAATAGCATGAGAGGTAGGATGATGCTAAACAATCTACAATCTCTGTGTCACCGGTTGCAGCAGTGCTGCTTATGGATAACTTAATACAGATATACAGTCCAGCAGAATAAAGAGATTACATAGGAAACAACACACTGGAAAGTTTGCCTGAATGTGAATATATCTGAATTTGCCATTAAAGTTTCTCAAACCGTGAGGTGCGCCTCCCTTAGGGAGGTGCAGCAGAGTCCAAACATGTGAAGAATGTTTTAGTTTCATTGTTACAATAAATACACCTTTCCCAAAGTTTA